CTGGTGTCTCTCCCCCCCGACACCGCATTTCATCTTGTAATAGCTTTCATCATCATCAATACAATCATCAGCTTTCATCATCAATTGCTCATTTTCCGCTGCTCAATTGCTCACGACATTGGTTTTCTCGTACGGCACTGACAATCTAGTCTAGCGTACGGCGAGGGCCTCAGTTGGCGCATAGCAACCGCACTGACATCGGTTGCTTAGCCTTACGTCGCCCTTCCAAGGAACTTCAGGAAGGCGCCGCGTAACAGTAAGCTCGTAATAGACCAGGCTCGAGCTCAATGGCAAAGTATGGAGCATGAAGATCGAAGTGCTCGCTAAAGATCGAGACCGAGCATAATACCGGAATGGCGAGATATTAGCAACCGATTGAAGATCTCGGCGGAAATCCCGGAACAGATCGAATCAAGCGGTTATTGACACCAATCATGGGATTTATTTCCGTTATTAGAATTGTACCTTATTTAGGATTTCTCTACTATATAAAGAGGGACCCCATTCATTTGTAAAGGGATTTGGACGGATAAGAAAATATACAAACGCTGCTCTTTATTTCACTTACTATCCATTACGGTTCATCATTGTTTATTTTCATTTCTTTACTGTTCTTGTTACCCAACCTCGAGACCATCTCGAATCAAGGTCGAAAGCACTGCTAGAACACTGGTTTGATTTCTTTTACTATTCAGATTATCTATTCAATTCCTTGTTTATCAATTGGTATTGGATTAAATCACGTATCCTTAAAACTACTAAATAAGTTTAATTGTTACTCGAATTTTAGGGTAAACACTACTATAGTTACTGACTTACTGTATATATTTTTAAGTGTCTTGACTAAAATCCTTTGCTTATGTCACCATCCATCGCTTCACATTTTTCAATACAATATCTGTTGTCTTAACATTATACTCTCACGTGGACACCATATCCCGGCCCCACTCAAATCATATATCATCCATGGCCTTACACATTTGTCAAGGCAATTGCACCCTTTCATATGGACTTTAGGGGTGTTCACGATTCGATTTGGTCGATTTTTTATTAAAACAAAAAACAAATCAATTTAATCGGTTTTTAAAATTTTAAAATCAAAACCAAACCAAATTAAATACAAACCATCGATTTGGTTGTTGTAGGTTTGGTTCGGGTTTTCAGTTCTTAATAAGCTAATGATAAGTCGATAATAGTAAAACGACACTATACAACAATATTTTAAGTACTACTAGAGCATAAATTTAAATACCTACAGTGATAGTTCTTTTAACTATTTACATTTGAAACTGTAGCATATAATATAAAGCATAGTATTAAAATTATAGCAATAATATAAGATAGAAAACTGTACCGGATGAACTAAGTTGCAGACTTGCAGTACATGATAGAATCAAAAGAACAAGCCAAAATAAAGGTTCCAAAGTACAAACAACTTTGTCCATTTAAAAGTAAAAATTATGTATTTAAACTAAAAAAAGAATGAGAGAATCCATAATGCCTAACGTCACTTTGTTGAGTAACAAAGTGAGTAACAAAGAAATATTATTTTAAAACGTAATGCCTAACATCACTTTGTTGAATCAATGATAAAGTATTCATCGTAACAAATTAGAATCTTACGTTTATAAAAATCTTCTCAAATTTTAGCCCGTAGTCTTGCAATTTGAATAGCTTTTTTTGACTTTTGTGATAGATATTTTTGCAACTCTTCTGTTAGGCAAAAGTAAGATACGTAGGGTTAGAGAATTTGAGTCTCTTAAGGAAAAGAAATTGGCCAATTCCTATTACTTTGGGCTTAGTCAATCTTTTAAGATATAAATAGTATAAACCAAAATCTATATATAATAATTAAAATACAAAAAATATTTAAAATTATTTACAAAAAGATATTATACTTTATATAAATAGTTATTAAATTTTATATATAATTTATCAGTTTGATTCAATTTATTTTTGGGTTTTTTATAATAGAATCAAAACCACCAAATATTATCGATTTTTAAAATTTAAAATCAAAACCAATCCAAATCAAAAAAAAAAATCAGTTTACTTAATCGATTTGGATCGATTTTTTATCAAACCATGAACAGCCCTATGGAGTACTATATATTTGGGTCGTGCTTGTGTATTTGAAGTTCATACCTAGTATGCTCCTTATTTTATAATCACGGCCCTTTTGAATAAAGTTGAAATTGGTGATGTTTTGTATTCTGCCAATTTTCCAAACGTAAAAAGAGGGAAAGTTTAATATTTTGGATAATTTTTGTCTATAGTCAAATAAGATTTAAATATTAAATACTTTTATAATTGTATAATAGTCAATCAATTTAAGGAGGCAAAAATAGATCGAAACAAACGATGCTAAACGTATAAACAGGTAGACAAAAAGACACTGCAAAAGAAAATCTCGCATCATATAATACAATTATTGGGCCGTGCAACCTTCACTAGTCCCTCAATACTCGAATAAAAGGCACCAATCCCAATTCCAATAATGCTCATGTATATTCTTTTACTAGATGAAGATTGCCCGTGCTTATTCTGCCTGTTTTTTTCCAAGTGTTCTAATGCCAACGGAATAGTGTTCCATCTACTCGTCAGCTGAGCAATATACAGTTCTAGCCTCAATTAATCACCCAACTCTTGTAATCTTAACATCTGAAATTGAAAAAAAAAAAAAATGCATTACCATACTGTTATAGGTTCTATGACTATCAACTTTATAGGCGTCGAATGAGTATGAATATAATAAAGTGATTCACACACTTTTTCAGACTTCTGTTCTCAAGATTTGGTTTTGTCCAGCTTAAGGGGTAAGACAGTGTTCGCCAATAGAGAGGCGTGAAGTTGGAGAAGAATTGGTATAGTACAAGTTAGAGTATGTTATCTTAGAGCTGCAGTGGTTGACTGTAAATTTTCCTCTATGATTAACCAAGTAAATTGTGAAACTTATGGGCTCAAAAAAAAATTATTTGCCAAAATGTAGAAGGCAAAGGTTCAAAAACATGCAACCAGTAAATTTCAAGTGCTTGACCAAATGTTATAAGGAAAAAGTACCAATACATTTAACTGCCCCATAATTCATACTGTACATTTTCTTTCCTATTCAAGTTTATCAAACTATTTCTAAATAAAATGATTAACATTGTGCTTATAATTAAAAGAGCAAAGATGTTAAAATAAGTATACGTGAAAGCTAATTAAATCAATCTGTAGCGAGTTGAAACGATTTAAGATATTTCAAGAACGCATGTGCAGTTAAACATTATGCCTAAGAAGGAATTGACTAACCAGGTGTAGACTACACTTTAAAAACAGCATAAGCAGCACAGACCTTTTACCATTGAAAATCAAAATACTGCATAAAAACAACCACAAACAAAATATAGAAGAAGTAACTTCATAAATCATATGAAGAAATAGTACCTGTTGGTCAAGCCCCAAAGAACTTAGAGAAATACAACTGACAGAATCCAAATAAAGGAACCCCTGGATGGCAAAAGAAATCATATGAAAAATAAAAGTAGATTTAACTAATGAAATTAGAAGCTGACACGGAAGTATTGTTTACTGACAATAAAAGTATAGAAATCTTTAGTTGTAAAAGTAAAACATTTTTCATTTATATATTTCTATCACTAAATCCTAGTTCAGTAAAATGTAAGATTCTACTCTGACTCATTTGCACCTCATCCTACTTTGGAGGGAAACATATAACTAAAGTAAGACATTGTTGTTTATAGACCATTACTTGCACCTTGCTAATTTTTCATTCTTACTCTTTAAAGCGTATCATCAGACACATAAAGAGCACAAGAAAGAACGTGTAAGTGATGAGCAAGTTTTCACTTCCTTCTTTAAAGCATATTGACAAAAGCAGAAAGAACATATTAACTCCCCTGAAATCTTTAGCAATTGGCTATGAGTTATGGGTTTACCTATTAAATCAGGAAAACCATCCTACTAAAAGTAACTTAATTGCAGCAATTCGGTCATGGTCATTATCTTTAATAACTTTTCCAGTTAAATCATCTCTAAGTTGAACCTTGTCCAAAACTTCTCCAGTTGAATCTTTGTCTACTTTTCCTTCTGCCATAGTGAGACGCCGACTTTTCCTTCTGCCATAGTGAGACGCCGCAACTCTAGCATAACGTGATAAATAGTTACATATTATAAAGATAAAAGTATTTAACTGCAAAGAAGTAAAATGATCAAGAAAGCATCCATATGAAGAAATTTTACCTTCAGCAGAGATAGATATGGAAGCACAAAAAAGCAGTTCTGCCCCATCATCGGAACCCCCTTCTCTGGGATTCCTTCATCGACATTGCAGGGAATCTCACTGTTAATACAGTTAGTACGGGGAACGAAATCAAACAAACAAAGAATCCAACACTTTGGATTATAGCATGTTTTATTTCGATAAATACAGTTTGTCGGTGTAAAGAGTACAATATTTACAAGGAAAAATACTTGCAAAGTAGGGTAGTTGAGAACAGAGGCGGACCCAGAATTTGAGCATTACGGGGGCACTATTATATTAAGCGTACCAATTACTGGCCAATGGCGGATTCATAATTTTCGTTAAGGGGTTTCCAAATATATAAAAGTAAACATATCAAAAAATTAAGGGGAGTCAATACATAATATAAATACATATAATTATGATAAATTATCAGCAAAATACAAACTTTAATTTTATTAAATATCATTACTTATATACGTAAATACCATATTGTTACCAAGTGGACAACAAAGTTATCCTAAGACCAAAATCCATTTGTAAGAAGTGAATATTATTATACTATAGACTTTATTAATAAAAACAGTTCCAATGTTCAGGTTATAATAAGATTTTAAGGCTTACTACTTAACCTAACTACTATGGGAACAAGTATTAATTAAATTAAACAAGTTCGAAATTTCACCCTAGTCCTATAAAAGATATCCTAATTCGAAGTTCTGCTTTTATACGAATTTCCAAACACAATTTTGTTTGAAGACAAACACTTCACTGAAAGAATATTTCAAATTAACATTAGCACTCAATTTTCAAATGCCTACTAGCTACGACATTAATTTGGCGTTCTCTTTTAACTCGGCTCTTTGCAGAAAGCAAAAGTTCGATAGCAGATTATTTTGCTAAGTTAATATCTTCAAAAGAAAAAAAAACTTACTAAGGGTATGTTTCAGCTGAAGAAGAGTCTCAAACTGAGTCACTGTCACTGATTCGCACAGTCAGAGTTCAGCAAATGCGGAAAAAGGTTAAAACAATCAATTGAAAAAGAATATTTGTTTTTAAGCAGAAGGGGTGAGCGAGGGGTTTTTAAAAAGGTTAAAAATCTAGGTTGAGTATTGGTACAAGCATTAAAGAAATCAGAAAAGATAAAATAAAAAAAAGCAGTAGATTAGAACTAAGTAAACAATCGTTGAATTAAAAAAGGAAAAGGGAAGGAGTGAGGTGACGGAGTTGAGTTTCGAACCTGGGTCCATCAACTAACTGAAGCACTTGAGCAGGCTACAAAACCAGCACTTTTGTCCGGCGTTTATTACTTAAGGGGGCCAGGTAAATTATTTGAGGGGTCCCCAGTGTATATACAAATGAGCATAAAATATTTTTTCAGTATTTTTGAAGTATTTCCAAAGTATAACTCCGATAATTCAGTTGGCATTTTATGAGATGTCAACCTTATTGAACCACTGTTACAGCAAAATCCTGGAGGTTCATATTCAAACTTCTTTGCATGACAGAATTGACAGTTTGGGACCCTTTTTAGAGCAACATACTCACTTCGTTGCTCTTTAGTGACCAGGCACACCTTTCTGGCCCGCCTATGAGCTGAATATATAAGAAGTATCATTAGGAAAAAAAGGAGCACCAAGGCATACGTATGGTGGACATTATTGTAACATTAAGTTTGTGCAAACCTTTGATTGGAACAGTGTTCAAGATAACATGACGCAGGTTAGATGTACCCGATGTGGACCCTAATATACAAATAGTCACAATTTACAGTAATGTATAAACAATATGTCATTCTGAAAAGAGTATAACCTGTTTCACGAATGATAGGGGGGTCCAATATACCCTTTCCTTTGTCTAAATTAGCAGATGATGTAAGCATACAGGCTAAGGTAGCAGCTGGTAAACAGAATAGCCAAGATGTTTAAAAGCGTGCAACGAACCCTCAATAGATGCAAAATTAAAAGAGCACGTAGTATTTATGTTTTTTAGTTTATAGATACATATAAGATAAATAAGCTGTGATACTCAATCTCCAAGCAAAATAAGCATCGTTATATTAATAATAAATAGTGTATAAATATGAGTACAACAATATATAACATTTTTCAGGAAGCGAAAGGGGTTCTCGTATGATTACCTGTTTCACAAATGATAGGGGGATCCAATATACCCTTTCCTTTTTCTAAATTATCCCACGATGTAGGCGTGCAAGCTTGATGGCCGACTACTGGAAAAACAGAATAGCGAAGACGTTTAAAAACGTATAGTGAAGCCTCTGTAGGTGCAAAATAAAGTGCAATAAACCACGCAGTGTTTGAGTATTTTAGTTTATAAGCACATATAAGATAAATAAGGTATCATACTAAGTTTCTAAGCAAAATACATAAGCACCATTGCATTAATAATATATGGTGTGTAAATATGAGTAAAACAATATAACCTTTTTCAGGAAGTGAAGGAGGTTCTCGTATGGTAAGAGCAGTTTGTTTTAGAAATCCTGCTTTGTCCCAAGATGATGTTGATTGCTGTGGGACAGCAAAAAACGGGCTTTGAAGAAGGCTGTGCTTAGTAGAATGTTGTCTTCTCATACGTCGCGATAGCAACATCGCTTCCCTGCTATGAGCAGATATTTGGCTTTGCGTATCTAATCGTTTGAGTTGCATTGCAGCCTTTCTTTTTTCCGCGTAAGAGCACTTGTTTGGTTCTTTGGAATCCATCAGCTATACAAGTTCAACTTCTTTTTATCTGAAAAATATTTTCAGCCCAAATTTTTCATGAAATATTCAAGCCAAAAAATGTGTCACCGCTTATCCAAAATCAAAATTACCGCCAATGATATGACTGATTCAATCAAGAATTTTCTGAAGCACAAAGAACAAAAGCGACTAACATATTAAACTTCATGTGCGCAAAGCCTTAGCATGCCATAAAAAATGCAACAGAGAAACAGAAGATGACAAGAAAGCAACGATCCAAACAGAAAAATTCACCAAAGTATAAAGATAAGAACAGGAAGAGCTAAAACAACAACACACTACTTACTTCCAATGAATATATAGTTCTCAAATCAGGATATCCTCTTGGAATCTTGGTAGCTCTTTTTCGTTCAGAGTTGGGTACGTAGCCAATTTAAAACGTGTCATTACATAATATGTAATCCATTCTTCTGTTGGTCTTATAAGATGCTCGTAAACAAGTTACAATGTTTAAGCACTGCTTATTCGTAAACATTGCCAAGAAAAGTGAAAGTAAGAAAGGATCTAAGTACATAAAATAAGTATATGCATGTAATCTATAGGAAAGGCAGAATAGTGTTTCATGAGAAATTAGTTTTTCCTTTTCTATGTCCTATATCAAGAAATCAAGATGCTACCAGACTCAAATTGGTATTTAGTAGCTTCTACGGCTAAAATAGCATATTCTTCTCATCGTTCTGAACATTATCTTCTACGTAAGTGAAATAGCTTATCAATGTGAACCAAAAATAAATAGTTCTATCTATATCACAATTTCATCGAAAATAAGATGGTAACTTTACATGCAGGTGTTACTTTAAGTTTCAAAGTCTCACCCACAAAGACCAAGTGGCGAAAACAGGCAATTAAAGAGCTTATCGCAAACTTAATATTGAAATTTCTCTTCTTTTTGAGAAAAAGACACAAGGCATGGATAGTTTAGTTCAATTCGTACACTTTTGAGAGCCCTTTAGTTAAACCAGCTATAACCCCAAAAATAGTAGAAATAACAAAAAAGCCTAATTCATTCAAGAATTGCCTTGAACACCTAAAGAACAAAGGCGATGGACACATATTGAACCTATCATAATCTTCCTTCGATCCACTCGAAGAAATAGAAGTTTCAATTTGGGGAATTGATTTGTCTTTGAACAACCCCAAATGCCATAGGAGCTCCGCTTTTCTTTTATTAAGACCAAAAAATCATTTACTTCTAACCACGTGATTCAAATGTAAGCTAGAATTTTGTCTTCTTCCATTTAGCACACCTACCATCAGAAATTGTTCACAATTTATTCTTTTCTTTCTTTCTTCTTCTTTAACACATCAACGTTCATTTAGTTGTTTGTCATCCAAAAACGATATAATTTCTTTAGCTTAGTGATTTGGGGTGCACGAAAGGAACAAGAGAAGGGAGCTCTTGTTAGGTGTAGTTAAACCTAAAACAATAGTAGTTCATTCAGGAATTGCGTCGAACACCTAAAGAACAAAGGTGATAGACACATTAAACTTTCCGTGCAGTAAAGCCTTAGTATGCCATGAAAGATTTAAATAGAGAAACAGAAGATAAGAAGAAGAAAACTCACAAGAAACAATGAGCCAAAGAGAAAAATTGGCGAAAGTGCGAAGATAAGATCAGGAACTGCAAGGAACGAAAAGGTGGAACTGGGAAGCTGCAATTTCCAGACGCTGGAGCTTTTAAACTATTGCTAGATTGGTTTTTGATACAGAGAACCTGCATCTGCCAAGTTTCTCAAGGAGGTGTCTGCCTGGCACCGAGAAGAACAAGAAGACAGAAGCCAAAGAAGCGGTGATTGCCAGGTTTTCCAAAGTGGTCGATATAATCCAAGCGAAGCTAATAAAAATTAGATGGAAAGACAATATTACCCTTGAAGTGGGAGGCAGGCATATCGTCCAGGTGCCTGCTAACTGCCTCTTATTAGATAGTAGAAATTATATACAGAAGGTTCTCACTTAATAAGTGTATATCTTTACAATTTATCAATAAACTATAATAAGTTAGGTTGATCTAATGTAAATTCAAAGTGTGAATAAGTGGTTGCTTTTGTGAGCGAGTCTCTCTGCCTATGGCCTCTCCCCTACTTCTTCAAATTTAGTTGATGAGCCCCATCTCATGCTGACGACTTTTTATTTTGCCTTATCAACTTCTTCCATTTTCTCCATTCTTTCTTGTTTTTTATTTTATTTATAAAAAACTCAAAGCTTGATATAATCAAATGGAAATGGCCAGACCTAAATTTGTCAACAACATGGCATGCACGTCATTCAATTAAAACAAAATCAGCAAAAGACAATTTATGCTAATATTATTATCTCTGTGATTATAATTGATAGAAAGACTACAATTTCTCTCCATCATGTATGCAGCTCAACTAATCCATCCTTTTCAAATTGATTTACACACTCACCGCCCATTTAATCAACTCTCGACGTTAATACAACTGGCACAAAGCAAAAAGTTATCATGAAAACCTGTAAGAATTAAACAAATCCTTTTTAAAATCTTTGATAAGAACATGGGACTAACTCCCTCAATGTCTCCAACCAAAGTCAACGATCAACTACCAAGGTAAACCGCGTACCACCTCAGACTATTCTGTCTAGGCACCGAGTAATATTAGCAGCAAACAACGGGGAAAATAATTCTAGTGCTAAATAATGTTAATTTTCCTCCACTAAAATGTCATAGAATAGCACTACTGTCTACTGCTATGATCCCTGCCTATTTGAGAAGATTTGAAACTCATACTTTTGCTTCTTGTGTATGTTTTGTTGGGACCAGTATCTCTTCATTTTCTACCAAGGCAGCAACATAATTGCATCAGTTCTACATGATGCATGACATCAGAATTAATGTCACATTGAACAACCTCTTCATTAGTTAATAGTACAACGAAAAATTATTTCACACTTCCGAGTATTGGTAGATACAACTTACAAAAGAGTTTAAAGATAACATATGAATCATAAAAATAAATAGTGAGTAAAAGAATAAGACAGTACGAGAAAGGGAAAAAGTGACTTCCGCTGGTAAGGGGCCGATAGCACATTGCCTTAACGAGCTATAGATGACCAGTGGCAATATGTATTTGCTTTCAAGTTTTGAGATTTTAGCGTCCTTTTGGATTCATGATTTGAGAGAAAACAGCACTAGGTGTTAACCCGTCTGAGTCGTCACTGGCAAGGCTGCGGCCGCCAATGCTCATGGATATGCCACTGCTTCTTGAATCAGTCATGCTCGCATCAAAACCTGTGGATTCATTTAAATCCTTCTTTCCTTTGCATGTGACATCAAAGCCTTCTTCAATGTCCATCTTTCCAAAACCTTTGCCACATTCTTCTGCACTCTCCTGAAGTTGCAGAGCGAATTCAAGGTTCCAAAGCACATCTCCCATTGAGGGCCTGTCGACACCAACATCAGACACACACTTCACTGCTGTCTCTGTAAATTTCTTCAAGCATTCTGGTGCAATCTTCCCTTTCAGATATGGATCAATTATCTGGTCAAAAGTGCCTTTCTTGTAGCAATGGAATGCCCACTCAGCTAAGCTCACTTGCTCCTTGGGAAGAGTTGGGTTCAATGCTGGCCGAGCACACAAAAGCTCAAACAGCACTACACCAAATGAGTAGACATCAGATTTGTCCGTGAGTTGCTGCCTTCTGAAGTATTCTGGATCCAGATATCCAAAACTGCCCTTCACCACGGTGCTGACATGGGTGTGATCCAATGTAGGACCTGTCTTAGACAACCCGAAATCAGAAACCTTTGCCACCCACTTCTCATCCAAGAGGATATTAGTGGTCTTCACATCACGGTGGATAATAGTATGCTTGGCACCAGTATGAAGATAGTGCAATCCACGAGCAGCACCAATGCCAATATCAAGCCTCTGCTTCCAAGGTAAAGGAGGCTTCTGGGTCTTGTAGAGATGCTCACGAAGGGTACCATGAGCCATGTAGTCATATACAAGGATCATCTCACAGTTCTCCTCGCAATAACCAATCAAAGAAACAAGGTGGCGATGGCGAAGTTTGGAGAGCATTTCAATTTCAGTTTGAAATTCATGAACACCTTGCTCAGAGAGAGGATTCCCACGTTTGATAGCAACTTTTGTGCCACCATCAATTTCTCCCTTGTATACTTTGCCAAAACCACCCACCCCAAGAAGCAGAGATTCATCAAAGTTATTAGTGGCTGCCTTGATCTCAGCAAATGAAAAGTGACGACAAAGGTTTGATGGGAGGGACGAAGCATAACTGCCTGTAGTGTTTGTCTTAGCAGAACCAGAAGTATGTGAATTTCCATATAAAGATAAAGGGAGCCAGCCTGATGGTCCATCACTTGGACTTTGGACCTTCCCATGTTTACGACGGCGGGTGACAAGGCATACAACCAAACCGATAAGAATTACGGCAGCAATTCCACCTCCAACACCTCCACCAATAGCTGATTTATTACTTTTTGATTGACCTTTTTTGGATGGCAGAGGGTCAATATGATCTGGTTCTGGCACTGGAACAGGATTAGGCCCTGCGAGGTTTCCGTTGGTGTCATTCACTTTAAAAATCTCTACTCCATTCAAAATTGCATCATACCAATTGGATTTTGAAGCAACGTCTGGATGGAGGGCAAGCCAAAGATCCTGCTGTGGAGCCCCAGAATGGACAGAGACCACGTAATCCTTGTGGAAAGGAACCCCATTGCTTCCAACCCAAGCAATGACATCTGCTGCAGGTTCCGCAGTCTGATTATTCATATAGATGACAAACACCCTTTGGTTGACTTCTGTGATATTCATAGTGATTTCACAGAAATGGAGCCTAACAAGATAAGAGAATCCGGAATCAACTGAAAAAAACCAAGTCAAATTGTATTGCAGGTTAATCTGAGCAGTTGGACCCATTGACCTGGCTGTCTTATAGACATCAAGCGGGGCAATGTCAGATCGCGCTCCTGCAGGATAGCTTACAGTGACATTCTCATCATCTGCAGTATCTGTAACCCCATTGGCAGCTCCAAATATATACTGTGAGTCATCACTCCATGACCTAAACATACCGGTATCAGCTGATGGTGAGATCACATTGCCTCCAACATTAAGCCGGTAAACATTCTCAAGGGCAGTAGAATTGTCAATAATGAAAGCAGCCGTCTGACCCACGATGAAGGTAGTTCCGTCCTCTGTATTATAGATATCGGGATGTGAAATGATCTCAATCCCATTGACAAACGCAAAGGAGTTTGAAGTATTTGGAGAGGGTGTGAAAGTCATGTTCAAAGTTTCAGATGGAACATTGATTGAAAACTCCTTGGTCAAGTAATCATAGTTGAGAGCTTCAGCAGTTTGTGCTGCACTGAAGTTTCTAAGGAGGGAATATGGTCCAACAGTCACACCGAAAATGGCATTGGTGGCATTAAGCTTGTTGTAAGACGAGGGATAAAAATACAGACGGACAAACTTACGACCAGGTGCTACAGGGAAACTATAGGTGAACTCAGACTGGAAAACACGGGCAGACATAAAAGGGACTTGAGGGACAGAGGGCTTTTGATCAGCAGCATCAGAGGTTGACGACTTGCTACCCTTCAAATATGTTGACCCAATATCCGAACCCCATTTTCGACCATCGGCATCTTTAAGACCGTCAGGACCTCCACAGTTCAACAGAATATCATCACCAGGTGCAGAATTTTGACCCAACGTCACATTAACGACAACAGCCAACAACAGGAAAGTGGAAGCCAAGAGAAAACAGAATTTACTGCCTTCTGTCATTGATGCTATACACGCCAGTAGTAAAAGTCACTGGAAAACAAAAAAGAATTGCAAGGAAAAGATCAATATCCTACTGTTGACCTCCAAGCAAATTTAATCACATAAGGTCAAGAAAACTGAAAAACTCATAGGAAAGCTGGATTTTTAAGTCCTAATAAACAATCAATCAGGGGTTTAAACCATTCTGCAGCTAAAAACCAGTTGAAATGAGCTCACTTTTCAAATAAATCTACAGGACAAACAAACACTAAGTCCAAAATAAAGAAACCCCAGTATCAAGATCCAATATAAGAAGCAGCCAATAGCATAAAGCACATAGATAAAATTTTGAAAACTAAATGAAAGCAGTAAGTCCAAAATAAAGAATCCCTAGTATCATCAATACTCAATACAAGAAGCAGCTAATAGCATAAAAATGGATATATAACTAAATTTTGGAGCTAAATAAAAAGCATCCAGTCCAAAACAAAGAAACCCCATTACCCCAGTATCAAGATCCACTAAAAGAAACAGCTAAAAGCATGAACATGGACTTGCAACAAAATCTTGGGAGCTAAATAATTGCATAAGCAAAAGGATAATTTACCTAAAAATCAGCAAGAAACTGAGAGATCCAAAAAGAAGCAGAGTTTAAGCCATTCTTGAGTTGACTAAACCCACAAGAACTGAATTCTAAGCTGCAGTCAGCTGAAGACGAAGCTCAGGCTCAGATCAAAGAAGAGAGAGAATAGGGTTTGAGTTTTAGAGAGATGGTAAGCTAGAGAGAGAAATGGAGAAGTAAAATTGAAGGAAGTTGGTAGTTTAATAAGTTGCTTTTGAGTTTGATATTAAAACTCTGCTTAGTTTGGTAATCCAGGTTATGAAAATAGAAATACCAAGTCCTAACTACTGACGAAGGTACATATAAAATGACAGAAATACCCTTAACAGTGCGTTGAAATGCCAATTTGCCATTTCTGATTGGATGACAGACTAGCTTAGGACTTGGGACATAAACGCGTTTGGGTAGGGACGAAATGGGAGGTTGCAATTGAATTGTTGTTAGTAGTATTATTACGTATATTTATTTTTGCTTCAAAATTGAATTATATATTGATATTTCTTTCTCTCACTCTTTTTTTTTTTTAACCCCTCCCAATTAGGAGGATTTACAGTGTTTCTACACTTTTCCTTCGGCGTAACTCGAACTCAGGACCTAACAATCGTGGGTGGAAGTGTTTTTACCAACTGAGCAAGCCTCACTCTCTATCATAAAAGAATAGAGGGAATAAGACTATATGTTCCCTAACCATTGGTATGACATTATTATTCTTTGCGAGTTTTTAAATATATCAACAATGCCTCAATCCTATATTAGTTAGAGTTTTTTCTTATGTTTGGGAAAATTATCGTATTATGCTCTATCCGTTAAATTACTACAATGAGTTTTTTAGCCAGACATGGGCTGGTTATGCAAAATTGATGTCGAGAGTTATTTTTAGAGAATTTTCTATTTAATTTTTTTAATTTATAGAACGTTTTTATATATTTTCAAGAAGTTTATTCAAAATTTTGTTTTCTGAGTGCATTTTCTAAATAAAATACAAATCTTCAGAAAAACTACAATTATATCCAAATATATTTAGACAAATTCTTTTTTCCAAATCATTTTCAAAGATTGTCCAAAAGGCTGGGATCGTGACATTCTTGTCACAATTTTCTGGCAAGTTAGAAGTATTAGTATTTTTTTTGGCCATTTACGCGTTGCTCTCTTTTTATTGAGCTAAAGGTGTGCAGCTGAGTTGGATACTATAAAGGAGAATGGGGCCCATCACCAAAATTGTACTGTTTGCCTTCAATCATGTGCTGTTGCCTATCGGGACCCACCACGAATTCGGATTCGGTGCATATTTTTCAATTGGACTTGCTGGTGTCTGTGGTTCTGCAAAGCCCTTTCCTAAAATTGGTATGTCCTATTTTAGACAGTAGAATTAACTTAAAAATCTATCGCATATATTAAAAATAGTTGACGGATATGATATATATAATTTATGTATAATTATGCATAATTAGTTTATAATCTATACATAATTATTGACTAAAAATAAACAGTGATTTTTTGCTTAAAGATATCATATCAAGTAGGACTACTTCTGAGATTTTAAATTTAATTTTTCAGCTCGGCCGTGCTAGCTAATGAAGGCCCAACCATAAATGAGTTCGAAATCAAAGTATTATTTTTTGGGCTACTTGCATTAATAGCACGCTATTAAAAATATAATACAAAAGATTAGCATTAATTAATGATTAACAAATATCACAGTAAAATATTTATACATATAGCAAATTTAATTCAATTCAAATCAGCAAGAATTAAACTGCTTAAAAAGGCAGTCCTAGTATTTAATAACTTTTTCTATTTTCTCTCTCCATTCCATAACATGTTTTATGTTTTCGCTAGAAACCAATCCATTTCATAACCGGTTTTTTCCTTTCTATACATGGACCTTTTTATATAATGTAATGTAGCAGAATTATACATCTTTATATTCTGATGAAATAAAATACATATATTTCATGAAAAAAATATAATGTATGTTTGTGGTATATATATATTATAAATCATGTATTTTTTAGGAAAATTCATGTATATATGCATAAGTTGTTTATATACGTCTTTATATTCAAACATATATCATCGATCCATTCCATAACAAAACTTTTTATATATATACATGGAACTTTTTATTCAACTTAATCCTAGTAAAATTATATTTCTGTATATTTCAATGAAATAAAATACATATATTTCGTGAAAAAATAATATAATGTATGTTTGTGGTATATTATAAATCATGTATTTTTTTAGGAAAAATCATGTACATATATATATGTTATTTATACCCTTATTTATATTTAAATAGATATTATTAATATGCCATTTATATTTTGCACTAATATAACATACATATTTGTATAAATTATCCGTATATAAACAGTATATGTGACATATTATTTTTCTTCTATATACATATTAGTGGCATGTTAATATTTTAGATTAAATTTATGTAAAGTATATGCTAGCGATATACTTTGAATAATATCAATATAATAATGTATTATGATGTGTGTGTGTGTGTGTGTGTGTTATATATATATATATATATAAAAGTTATATATGTGGTATAAATACATATAAAAAATATATATGACATATTGATGGAATATTTACATTGTAATTTATCACAATATAATATACTTGAAATATATTAAAGGTATATTTTGAGTTAAAATAAAATTATACAGAAAAAAATTTAAAACTCAAAAAAGAAAAAAATACTAAAATTCTCATTGTGCAGAGGGAATTATTTTTGAGATATTCTTCTTTCAGAATCTTTGATATATTTGGGTAAGTGTTATTTAAGGAAGAGAAAAAAAAATATGGAAGCGTGAGGAAAAAGAAAATGTAGTAAAAAGTGTATTAATGTAGAGGGATCCCTAGTTAATGGAGTTATCAACGTGAAAGTGTTAAAAGGGTAAAAACATGTGCTGTTTTTTAAATAAATAAAGCCTACTATCATTTATGAGAATAGTTTTTAAAAAGGGAGCAAGCATGTAAAAATCTCTTATTTTTTGGACTCAAAGCACAAAAATAGGTGAAAAAAATAACTGGCTGCCATTTTATGTATAGCGCTTAAATTTTATGTATTATGCCATAACGGCACGTTTGTCCGTTAAAGTATAGCGCATGAAATACATATGCTAAACCTGATTTTCAAAAGTCGATCAAAGTACAACTATATCGCATATATTAGATGCGCTATATCTGAAGTTGAAAAGACAGATAGGTATAGCGCATCTAATATATGCGCTATACCTTTATTAAAAGGGCAACTTTTATTACTATACAAGATTTAAGAAATTATTATAAATTTATAACAACAAATCCATAATTATATGGATAGCGGATTCTATACTAGAAAACTGATCCACACCCATTAATACTAATTAATTACCCATTAATCATCACTATTTTCCATTAATTTTGCACATTTTTAGGGATACTATACTACTAAATATAAGAAAATGCTATTCAAATTTGTTCCGCCCCCTTTCATATGTGAATAGCTCCATTTTTTCCTTCCAAAAATATGCCTCTGCTTAGTGTTACAATTTCTTTTTATAATAATCTTATACTATTACAAGCAAAAGTGATATTCTAATGGTTATGCATTGTATGATTATGGTATGTGTATTTAAGTGTGAACCTAAGCTAAATATAAATTAAAAATATCAAATCCTATAATTCACAAAAAATACGTGGTCTATATATATGAGCTATAATTATGATTTATACAACAAACGAGATCTAAAAAATAATATTAATTATACTAGAAATATATATAGTATATAATATATCCATTATATATTTATGAAATAATTTATGGTATATAGCATATATAATTAGAATGTTTAATTATATAAATAATACAACAATGATATAATCTATATGTGTTTGCTCATATTTATTTTAGCTAGAGCATATTCTTCGTATATTTATGGAATATATAAAAATACATAACATATTATTCATAATATATTTATGAAATAATGAAGGAGCCATTATAGTCAAGTTGAAAAACATACAGATGGAAGAGGAGAAGCGAGAGAGTGAATGGAGTCGTCTGTATGAAGGGAAGAGAAAACGAGATTAGGTTTTGAGGGGATAAAGGAGAATAAGTTAATGATCCATCCCTTAATTAGTGATTCTTTAATTAATGAATCTTTAAAAATATGTAGGCAATAAAAGGTATGAGATTTTAAAATATGCCACAATTGTATATAATTGAGTAATTAGTTATTTTTACTGTGATGTATGCTTTTTGTGATAGTTTTTTGATATATTTATTTTTTTTTGTTTTTTATCCGGATTAGTTTATGTATGTGCAAAAAATTATGAAAATTATATATTGTTCTTTTGTTGAATAATTAGTGTTATATGTGACTTTAGTATTGTACATGTAATAATATGTGGTTTTATTGTTGTTTAGTACCCTATAGTATTATGTTGTGCCTTTTATTGTTATGTAGTATCGTTTAGCCTAGTAAAACTGATAATAAATTTTAGTTTATGTTAGTTGATATTGTTTATAGCCATTTAGAGTAGTGTGACTTTAGTGCTCTTTAGGATTCTTTAGTCTAGAATAAAAACTATGTGCCCTCATTAACTAACATGGTTAGAGTACTCAAATTATGGATCAAATGTTAATTAATTATTAAGTGTTTATTAAATTTATTATTAGATAACAATCAAATATTAGATATGAATCATAAAATAATTAGTTGACAATACAAAAGAGACTAAAATATAAAAGTTAAAAAACAAATCGTTACGAATGAAATAAATTGAATATTATTTAGTATTAAGTTTTTAGTATTTTTTTTATATGAATAATTATTAAATATATCGTGATTAGTTATGAAAATTAAATATTTAATTTTTTTATAACCCAAAAATATCTGAAAAAGATGACAGTTCAAACAAAACCCTGCCGAATTTTAGTCAAAAAATATAAGAAACTAACATATAAATAATTATTTTATTTATCAACCTAAGTAATAATATAGAAAATTTATCGATTAAATATTAATATAAAAAATATCGGTATTTAAAGATGTTAAACGATTAAAGAGAAAAATACTTTAATTAATATTATTCACTTTACAGACATCGTCATGGATCTTCCCCGTGTGCATCCTGGACCTGTTGTTCGAGAGCTACTGTTACTCCAGGGTGTTCAAAAGTCCTTTAAATTTAATTGCCCCTAGAGTGTTATTATAAATCTACTATTTTAGAAATAAAATAAGCTTTATATCCTATCCAAATATCATGGTGCGATAAGGGGTACATTATTGAAGTTAGGTAGAGAACTTGACTAACTTTTCTACTCATATGATATCTCTGAATAGCAGGTACTCAGCAGTCGTCATATCGAAGTAATGAATCTATTAAGTGGAATACCTTGTAAGGCCTCACTCATCTCTTCCCGTGATCAAAAGGCTTAATCTCTCATCTCTTGCTTATGTTGAATTTTATTGTGACATTTATTGTGCCTTTGGATAATATTTAGTTGATGTCGTACTTAACTGAGAGTTCTCCCGATTTCGAGAGAACCCGGTTAACCACCTCCTCACAGTTTGCATGAGATTCCACTTATTCTATGTCATTTTAAATTTTAGGTTGTTGTTCCTCTATTGAAGATAAAAGCGATGGTCCGGGCTGTCTGAAATAAGAGATAATTTTCTCAGTCCTAATCCTAATAAATACCACACGAAGGCTTGCCTATCCCTTATTTGTCCATTAAGTCTATTTTTTGCTAATGGCAACATAAAAAGCACCTAAATTATAATACGTAAGAGGAATGTCGATTAACCAATTATGCTACTATTAGCACCCCAAACTAAAAACTACAACTGAAAATCCAACTTTTGCCCTACTATAAAATAAGGCGAGGGATCCACCCCCAACAGAGAACCCAACCTTTGAACGCAGGGCTTGAAAGAACACTTCTGGAATAACCATTGAAACAGACTCATTCAGGACTACATACTACCAGATCGATACTAACTTAACTACTCCTGCTCCTACCGGATCCAAGAGGGTTGATGCCTGATTCTTCGACCCATTACTCATTCCTTCCCCACTTGATAAGGATTGCAATCTCGGCTTGCCATTGCAATATCGGAAACCGTAGGAAAGAAAGCTTCGGTTTGGTATTTTATTTTGACCGACAGAAGCTTACAACACAACATGGTAATTGATCGAGTGTACTTTCCTTTATCCTTCTTCCCTTACTTAATGACAGAGTCCACCGCCTGCCTTAATAGTCTCAAATAAGGCATGCAAGCCGAGTTGAGCTATCACTCTGATTGGAATAGATATACATAACCCCTCTGCCCCATACTCTAGTCAGCTTTCTATCTCTTTCTCCAACCTTCGATGGTTGGTTGAGGAAAACTCCAAAACTAGGGTTCCAAAAAGCTTACCTTATATTATAGAATAGTTTGATAAAGGGGCACCCCTATTATACACCTAAACTACAAGCTAGTGCACAATGACTGAAAAGCCGTTGTGACTGGACGGTATTCACGAGCAGATGACAAGCATAAGTGAAGAAGGGTCTTATGTTACCATTTTTGGTGGTAAAGAAGATGTTCTTGTTTTTCTATTTTCCAAACCCACTTCAGCTTTCAAGATTGGGTTGGTATTTCGATAAGCGAGAGGTTTAAGCTCCGCGAGGTAAAGGACCAAGTGTATGCCACAAGTGACTTGTCTTTGAGGAGGTAGAATGTTGTTATAAATCTACTATTTTAGAAATAAAATAAGCTTTATATCCTATCCAAATATCGTAGTACGATAAGGAATACTTTATCTAAGTTAGGTAAAGGACTTAGACTACATTTTTTTACTCCTATGATATCTCTGAATAACAGGTACCCACAGACATCATATCAAAGTAATGAATTTACTAAGTAGAATCCCTTGTAAGGCCTCATTCACCTCTTCCCATGGAAAACACTTAATCTCTCATCCCTTGCTTATGCTGAATTTTATTGTGACATTTATAGACTGTTTGGCCAAGCTTCAAAAATCATCTTTGTAACAGCAAATTTCAAGTCTGTAATATTCAAGATAAGAAAAAGATTACAAATTACAAAATGTAATATGAAGAGTCGACTTGGGTTGCAATCTCAAGAATGTCACTAGATCTGCAAATGACGTCTTCTGATTCTTCTCCTCACAAACGTCGCTTCAAGGGCTCTTGGCTTATTCTTGAAAGGACGGGATCCGTCACGAACAGTTTGATGGCCGTCACGAACAATGATTTGAGATTTAGCTATCACGAACGAAAGATTTGGAATTGCCTCTTGGATTCTTGACTTGTACTCCGTTGTTGGATTTGTTTACGAACGAAGATCGCCAAGGTAGAAGAAAACTTTAGATGCTTCCTTGGAGTTTCTCAAGCTTTTCTCCAACTTGCTTGATGTCTTTCTCTCTGTGTTGTCCCCCCCCTTTAGCCTTATGGGAGCTCTCTATTTATAATGGTAGAATAGGAGAGTTGTGATAAAGCCAAAAGCTTTTGTTATGATTTTATTGGTCTATTTGAATTATGAACCTATCTCATTTAGTTACACTTGACATGTTTTTATTGGCCAGTTAAACTTGATACATGGCAACATTTTATTGGCCACTTCTTTTGACTTGGTGCCATGTAATTTAACGTGTGTCATTTGTTTGGGCTTTAAGATGTAATTTTAGCCACTTGGACTTCCGGCTAGTGAAAGGGGCTCATATTTTGAAGTCCAATTAAATAAACGAGCCCAAATAAAATCAGATTTTACTTTAAATCCATATTGGACTTAAATAATTAAACTTGATTTAGGCTAACCATTTCTTGAATTTAAGAATTTGTCCCAGACTTTAGTCCATAAAAATTCGTATGTTACAAATGCCCCCTACTTCAAAACTTGACGGTTTAGATTTGCCGAACCTCAACGACTAGGCTTGAAGTATTGTTAATGATGGTCAACTTGGTCCTTGAGCTGACTTAGAATTTCCAAAAGAACTTGTTTGAAATAAACCCCTTAAGCTTTGGGGCTTTAATATGAGCCCATATTGAGTAGGAGCGAGGCAAAGCCGAATTGTTCGTAGCCTGCGGTAATTCCAGACCTCTTTACTCCCTTAATCATGAAACAAAACACATCCTTGTCAGAACATGGATGGACTTCAACTTTTTGATTACTCAAAGTCTTTTCCATTGAGATCCTCAATTTGATTCAGATGGAGTTATCCCTATCCTGCGATTCCCGGCTCTTTTGAGTTTACCTGCTGCTTTCCTACGCCTATAAAAGGGTAGATCCAAACTTGTTAAGATACATATTCAGCCCTCTTTGCATGGTAGCAGTTGACAGGTGATTCTCTTTGCGAAATTGTTTGGCTTTCTTTATTATCATTGCTCAGTTTTGTTCCTTTGCTAAATGCTACCTAAAACCTTTGATGGAGTTCCTATATCCCCGTAGCAAGTAGTTCTAATACCAATTAGACGCCTAACTCATATAGTTAATATGTTGCACGCCAGATGTTTGTTATTTGGACTTCGTTCTTGCACAATATGCGTCATTAGTTTTCATGTCGTTAGCTAATGAACTGAACATTGCCTTCATCGAGCAGACACTGATAGCCTTGATCACTTATGCAGCTGGTTCAAGCCCTTAGGCATCTACTGATGTTAAGATATCTACTTCACAATTCTCGCGAGACTTGCCACCTTTAATAGCAGTGTCGGAGGCGTAACATCATTCGTCGCAGCAGCGCCTTGCTTCATTCTGGTGAGGATAAATTTCCTTTCCAAGTACTAGGACCAGGTACGACCTCAAATTCTTGAAACGGGACTATGCTGCAGGTGCTACATCATATATAAAAGTAGCTGCCATGTTTTAGGCAAATTTCAAAACTTAACTTCGAATTCAGTTACTGATCCTTCAACTTTGCGCGTCTTCACGAGAAAAAACATATATTTTTGCAGATATATTGAAATTGCAATCCGTCTTTGGTGTCGTGAAGTAGACTTCCGAGACTACAATCTACACCAGAACCAGGTGTAAATTCCCCGTGAATTTACACAGGTAATCTTCTGAACTCAGCTCTGGATTTTGGGTGCTCTATTTTTCACAGCTTTGCGCGCGCTGACTAAAAAAATCATATCTTTCTGCAGACACGTCCAAACCATAATCCGCTTATACCGTTGGAAAGAGGACTTCTGGGACTATAATATATACAAAAATCAGATCCAGATTCTAAGTATATTTGTACAGATACTTGTTTGAACTCAGTACTAGATTTCTGGTGTTCTGTTTTTTACAGCTCTGCGCGCCCCGACTAAAAAAATCATATTTCTTTGCAGACACGTCAAAATCACAATCCGTTTACACCGTTGGAAAGGGAACTTCTGGGATTACAATATATACAAAAATCAGATCCAGATTCTAAGTATATTTGTACAGATACTTGTTTGAACTCAGTACTAGATTTCTGGCGTTCAACTTTTTACAGCTCTGCGCGCAGAGGCGGATCCATGATTTGAAGTTTATGAGTTCCTATTGTAATCTCAAATTAATATACAATAATAACTGGGTTCACAGTTATATATTTATAGATATTTAATAAAATTTTTAATAAAAATACAGGGTCTCCGCAAAAGTTACTGGGTTCCCGGGAACCCAGTAACTATACTCTACATCCGCCACTGTGACTGCGCGCCCCGACTTAAAAAATCATATTTCTCTGCAGATACGTCGAAACCTCAATCCGCTTGCGCCGTTGGAAAGAGGACTTCTTGAACTATAATATCCATAAAAATCAGGTCCAGATGCTTTTTAGATTTGCACAGAAAATACTTCGAACATGGTCCTGAATTTTGGATGATTTTCCTTTGACAGCTTTAAGTGCCTTGACAGACATTTTTTTTTTTTAATACTTTGCTCGTGCATTGTCTCTTTTGGCAGCGTAGTTTACTTCTTCTAACTCTTCCATTCTTTCTTTTCTTTTTGTTTGCAGTTCCGGAGAGTTACAACTTGATTTTGATATTAAGTTGTAGACAATAAAATTGCATCAAAAAAATAATCGAGACCGAAAAAATATTGCAACAATCGTAGTATTTTATTTCAAATAATATGAGTATACAATCTCTATGAATCTCTTATTCTACTTTTCCAATGTAAATTCAAGGGCCTTTGAACTTGATCTTGAATCTATATTTGTTGTCACGAACGATGTTCTTGAATTCAACTAACACGAACTTTGATTTGAACTCGTACTCCTTGAACCTTGATTTGTTCTTCGTTCTTGAACTTGAGCTTGAACTTGATTTGTTCTTCGTTCTTGAGCTTGAACTTGATTGCTTGAAACTTGAAACTTGTGGAGGAATTTACAGTGTTTGATCCACAAGCTCTTTTTTGCTTCTTGTTATAACTTCTAGTATTTTTTCTTGGTTATGAAGACCCCTATTTATAGTTGTGGACGAGAAGAATTGTGATGAGAACAAACTCTTTTTGACCAATCAGATTGAAGCGTGACAATGCCGCATTTGACTGGCCAGAACATGTCACTTGCACATATGGCGCAATTTCATTGGCCATTCAATTTGACTTGGAATGCCTTGTCATTTTGACACGTGGCATGATCCCATTGGCTCTTCTGTTTGACTGGACGTGCCACGTCTTTTGACACGTGGCACCAAGCTGGACCTCTTGGGCCTAATGAAGTGGGCTCATCATTTTTAACCCAATTAAATTGGCTAGTCCAATAAATTTGAATTTATTTATTTAATCCATATATATTGGACTAATATAATTAATCTAATCATATTAGCGCATAATATTTATTTGGACTAACATATATTTAAAGTATAGTCCAAAATTTTTATTGAATTTAAATTTAATAAATTTTGCATGTCTACACAAGCGACATATAGAAGGTCAAATCCCTTGCAATATATAGATGGACAAATACATTTCAATACATAGACGACAAATCCACATCACAATATAGACAGACAAATCCACATCAACATATAGACGGACAAATCCACATTACCATATAGACGGACAAATCCACATCACCATATAGACGGACAAATTCACATCACCATATAGACGGATAAATCCACATCACTATATAGACGGACAAATCCATATTAATATATAGACGGACAAATCCACATCAACAAATAGACGGACAAATACACATCATCATATAGACGGACAAATCTACATCACTATATAGACGGACAAATTCTTAACAATATATAGAAGGATCAAATCCGTGATGAGACCAACTTAAGGTGCAAAGAGACTTAAATGTCCACCTTAAGACTGAAAAATTATAGTTCCTTTTAAGGACAAACCATAAAGAAGCCAACTTAAGATGCAAAGGGATTTAAACGTCCACCTTAAGATTAGAAAATTAGAAAGCCTCAACTTAAAGACTTGATGGATTTGTAGAAATCAACTTGAAGACCGACAAACTTGATGATTTGACGGACTTGAAGATTTGGCGGACTTCGATGCGTCAACTTGAAGAGCGATAGGCTTTAAACTTCAACTTGAAGAATTAGCAGACTTGAAGACTTCAACTTAAAGACTGGCAGACTTGCAGATTTTAACTTGAAGGGCGGTGGACTTGAAAACTTCAACTTGAAGAACTGGCGAATCTGGAGATTTTAACTAGAAGACCGGACGACTTGAAGACTTGAGGGACTCGTAGAATTCAACTTGGAGGCTTGACGGAATTAAATATTTCAACTTGAAGACCAAAACTTGAATGTTTAGCGAAGGCATAGCGAATCTCCGGACTTCGATGCAAATACTTGGTAGCCTCCTAAAAGACTATAATCATCCTGTTGAGGACACCAATTTACCATGGAGGCTCGCCCCCTTTAAATTATATGGGATCCAAAGTTCAACAGAAGAATGCCATTTCAACTCGATTTTCAAGTGTTGATTGAATGGATTATATTCTATCATACTTTATTCGAACAACGGTTGGGGCAATATGTATCTTTTGATTTCATGCGACTAAACTCAGAATGAAACTCTAAGCTGCCTACGTACCTCGGTGAAGAGGATCAAGTCATACCGTAGTTCAAAATGGATGATTTTTTTTTTTTATTTTTTTATGTCGCCTAGGCCACCTCTTTTGAGGTTTTCAACCTAGCGGACTTGTTTTTTGGGGCCGTACAAAGTTTAGACTCATGCTGGCCAGGAGTGTAGGAACATGCAGTTTAGGCTCATGCGTCAAGGAGCATTGCAACTTGAAGATTTTGCTCAAATTTGAAGAGTTTCATGACATGACGTTTAGGCTCGTGCGTCCAGAAGCGTTGCAACTTGAAGATTTAGCTTATAATTTGAAATGCTTCGAAGCTTGATGACTTGATCAACCTTAAATTACTTTGCAACTAAAAGTTCAGCTCGAATTTGAAGAGCTTCATGACTTAAAGATTTAGCTCAAAGTTGAAGAGCTTTGCAACTTGAAGTTTGGCTCGAATTTGAAGAACTTTGTGACTTGAACATTTAGCTTGACTTTGAAGAGCTTTTGACTTGAGTCTTTGCTCGAATTTGAAGATCTTTGCGATTTGAACACTTTGCTCAAATTTGAAGAGGTTTACAACTTGAAGACTTTGCTCGAATTTGAAGAGCTTTACGCCTTAAAGATTTAGTTAAAATTTGGAGAGTTTCGTGACATACAATATAGCATATGCCAAGAAGCATTATAACATGCAGTTTAGGATCGTGCGTTGAGGAGAATTATAACTTGCAGTTTAGGCTCGTGCATTGAGGAGCATTACAATTTGTAGTTTAGGCTCGTGCATTGAGGAACGTAGTGACATGCATAGACTCTTCGGTTTCATTCTCAGATGAATACTTGCCCCCATTCTCAACATCCTCTGCTTCTATTTCATCACGAGGCTCAAAGCCAGAAAACCTTTGATCTCCACTTGTAGCCATACTCAATTCCATATCATGGGCACAAAGTTGCTAGTTCTTCAAATGTTTTGGGCTTTATGCCTTGAAAGATATAGCAAAGACTCCAATGCATGTCTTGAATGCACATTTCGATGCCAGAAGTTTCACTAAGGCGATCTTTGCAGTTGAGGCTTAAGCTCCTCCAGCGGTTGATGAAGTCAATAACTAGCTCATCCTTTTGTTGATGAGCGTTTGTAAGTTCGATCATGCTTACGATGCGTCTTGTGCTATAGAAACGATTAAGAAACTCCTGCTCTAACTGCCCCCAACTATCGATGGATCCAGGTTCGAGATCTGTGTACCAATCGAATGCATTACCTTTGAGAGATCGAACAAACTGTTTGATATAATAATCACGGTACGTTCCAGCATTGTTGCAAGTTTTAACAAAGTGCGCTACATGTTGTTTTGGATTTCCCTTGCCGTCGAATTGTTGCAACTTAGGAGGTTGATAACCAATATGCATCTTCAAGTTATCAATTCTTTGCGTATACAACTTTGCATATATGAGAGATAATTTGGAAGACGACTCGGGTTTATCTTTGATAGCCTCCATGATGAAGTCCTTCAATTTCTCAACGGGAATTAGACCTTTAACGGAGACTTGGATCTCCTTAGTTATCGTCGTTTGCTTTTCGGAGAAGTCCCATTTCTCTTGTAACCTTTGAAGATTTAAAGGTGTTTGTATGGATTCTCCTTCTACTATGCTATCCAACTTATTTGTTAAATTGGAAAGTTTAGCATTTTGATCTTGCACGCGCTTTGACAAGCCTTCAACTGCTTTCGTCAAATTTGCGAGTTGTTCTTCTACGGTAGAAATTTCAATAACCATTACTTGCATGATGTTCGTAGAGGATGAAGAATGAAATAGATCATTATTGGGATAGAGCTTGGAGGTCGCATTAATGGAGACTAAAGTAGATCCAACACTCAAGTCATCATCATAAGCTTGCATGAAAAGTTTCTCAAACTTAGATAAACTAAGTTGGGCAAGAACTTTTTCGATCCTTTTGGCGACATCGTTCCCTTTTTGGGTCGTGCTTGTAGAGGATCTTCCTCTTTTTGAAGATGAAGATCTGAAAATAGGAGTTGGCGTGGACCACACTTGGAGTGCGTGTTGTCCTAAAGAGCTTGCTTTGCTCCTTGTAACTATGCTTTCCACATCAACATAGAACTTGAAATTAGCAGCCTCACTCGAAGTTGATCTGGAGTTAATTTTCTGTGAAGCCATTTCGATGTTCTTGAACTTTGGTGATTGAAAAGTTGAGATGAGAGGTAGAGATTGTCTCACTTGGTATGCCAGAATTTGTAGACAATAAAATTGTGTCAAGAAAATAATCGAGATCGAAAAAATATTGCAACAATCGTAGTATTTTGTTTCAAATAATATGAGTGTACAATCTCTATGAATTCTCTGATTCTACGTTTTCAGTGTAAATTCAAGGGCTTTTGAGCTTGATCTTGAATCTATATTTGTTGTCACGAACGATGATCTTGAATTCAACTAGGACGAACTTTGATTTGAACTCGTACTCCTTGAATCTTGATTTGTTCTTCGTTCTTGAACTTGAGTTTGAACATGATTTGTTCTTCG